CGAAAGGGACATATGTATAACAAAAATAAAAGTAAAGAAAAAGGCACTCTTTCATAGGATGAAAATAACAAGAAAAAATCATGAAAAAAGAAACTATCTTTGAGTATACTTTGAACGCAAAATGTGCTTTTTAACACCCTCTCTCTTTTTCAATCTATCAATCAAGCATAAGTAGTTCATACTTACTTTTCTACCACCTTACCTTACATTTAACGTATTTCCTAAGCTATTCATTTCACTAGCCTCTCTTATCTTTCATTTAACCGCAAAGGTACCATAATCAGCAAACCTACTAGTCAACCCACTTCTATAAATCTTGTAGCAGCCGGATCTCGATTTTGGGTCATATTACTCTAAAAGATTGCATATTAGAAGAGATTGCGAGGGTATCTTTAAACACTGTTTTATTCCACAATTTCTTATTAATTCGCTTATATTTTTTGAAAGAAGGTATGATGGCAACATTAGGGCACGATAAAAGGTTTTAGTCTGTCCATCTTTGACTAAATGGTCTCCGTCTGAAAATTTATTCCTCAGTAAAGATATATTATTCTCAATAATGCCGAAAAGATAATTATTTTCCAGGAATAAATTTATGAGCCGTTTCAACTCTATAGTCAAATGTTTGCTATCAGCTAATCTCCCTCCTAATAATCTTTAACTTCAAAATTCCAACATTAATTTTAAAAATATGATTTGAAAGAAAATTCAGCAATGCCAGCATGTTGGCTTCCTATAAACATATTTTCTTAACTTACCGTCTTCTCTAATGATGAGAACATCCATAAGAGATTAGTACTTATTTTCTTCCATTTCCAGCGTGAACCTAATCTTCCTTACACGCTTTTTGAGTGAAAGTAGGAAACTATCTAAACTTTCCTTATCATGAGACTAGGTGATAAAATAGTCATCCATATATCTAACCAATAATTTGGGGGTTTGTATTGTTTCTTGCAGGATGTGTTCCTCCAGTCTTCCATATAATTGTTCGCCAAGATGGGAGATAGGCAATATTCTATTGCTAGTCCTTGTTTCTTTTTATAACTTGCCATCGAAGATAAAATATGTGCTACTTATAGAGAGGTAAATATGTCTAATAATGAAAGCTACACTTTGCCTTATCCGTTGTGTTATCTCTGGATGCTCCTCTAGAGCTTGTATCAGAGCTTGAATAGCTCCTTGAGCAGAAATGTTTGTGTACATAGACACAACATCAAAACATATTAGCTTATACTCTTTTTTTCACTTCTTCATTTCACCATTATTTATGCATTCCCTAAGTGCATTTATTAGTTTTTCTGTTGGATCTCTCAGTAAAGGCATATACGTTTCTGTGGTATTTAAATCAACTAGCATTTTTTACATAACCTGTATTTTCCATCTCAACTACTGATCCACCTTTATTCGCTTTCATTGACGATTAAATTATTATGACATGGATATTTAGATACCATAATAATTCGACATACTTCCTTTTGATGAATTAAATGGTCAAAATTAGAGATCACCTCCAGTTCAATACTATTCCTTGCCTCTTCAGGTAATGTATTAGATAAGCTAATTAATTCAACAAATATGTCCTCATTTGGAAGAGTAAAATTCAATCCTTTTTTCAATAAAACTTTCACACTATCCTCCAGAGTTATACTCGATAAATTGATTACCTTATCCCTCCTCATTCTGTTATAAGCATAAGTACTACGCTTTACCTTAAATATACGGTTCATCGACATAATTTTAATTTCTAAATTCCCAAGTTTCTTATGATGTATCTTCTGAGTCATTCTGTCAGTCGCCTCTCCTAACGCATCCGCCATATCTTGTAATTTAAGCCAATCTACATATCTCAATATTTCAAAAAGCGATTTCCTAAGCATACTTTTGATTCTAATTAGTTCGTGTAGTTTGTTGATGCTCGCCTTGAGTCTAGTTTTAAACAAACCATACGATACTTGATCAAGTTCTATATTGGTGAAAGTCGGTAGATTGCAACCACTGCTGAGCGCATTTCTAGGCCAAATTATTAGTTTTTCTGTTGAATCTCTCAGTAAAAGCCTCTATCTGTGGTACTAGTGCAATTAATTTATTAGGAATTACGTTGAGTTTGAGGAAAGTGGTATAAAGTTGAGTAGGAACTACTTATGCTTGATTGATAGATTGAATGTGAGAGACTGTTGAGCCGCCGTCCAAAAGAAGGCGACTCAATTTGTCTTTTAGTGGTGTTTTTACCTTCACTCACACTCGTCCATCATGTTAGATTAAGCTCATCAACCAAACCAGACGCGCCAGATTAAGCAGCCCCAGTCATGTCTTTCTTCGGGTGGTTAAACGTTAATGACCCTAGAATTAGAGGTAAGAACAAGTTGTTTTCTTCACTTGACTTACATGTTTACAAGCTCATATCTCATTATCTCAACGATTCTTGCTTACGGACTTACGCAGTCTCGGTCAGGGCTTCCTCTTGAGACATTAGGCCTTGATTATCAGAGCCTTTTGATAACTCTGATTGAGGACCGGTATTGCGTATAGACTCTCTCTCACACACACACACACACGAGCAAAAGTAGCAGGACCAGTATGAAAGGTAATCAGCCAAACTACTCTTTATCTATCTAGGTTTTTTAATTTTATTTCGCTTTATTGAGGCTATATAAGAGGTAAGATAGAGCCAGGTAGTCTTCTTGCCTTGGCGTTAACGTGAGACTTACAAAAATGAGAATCAGCTTTGATTATGTCCATAATATAATGGGCAAAAGCTCAGCCCGTTTTCACAAGAAACGAGAGATGAAGTCTCGTGGACTGCTTTAACCTGAACGTCGTATAAAAGCCAAACGGCTACAGTACAACGGTATTCATCCGTCCTATTCTTGTAAGAACAACTTATGGATCTCTGTTTTATGCTTTTTCATACGAAATGAAAGTCTTCTCAAAAATGTTATCTCAAGAGATTTATCGAATGTCAGTTTCTCGTATTTAGTATGTTACATCCATTCTGCTTCGTATCTTCTTCTTTGTACTGTCGAATAGAAGCGTTAAATTTTTTTTTAGTATTTTCTTTTTAACCTTTCATCTCTAAATTGTTTTATTTTCTCCAGTATCATTCAATTTCTGGCAGATTCTCTTACTTCGGATCGGAGCCCCCTGCTTCGCTTTGCAGCGCTCCAGCTAGTTGGTGAGAAATTTGCTATTCTCCAGCCCCTTCGGCCTAATTTGCCAACTCAGTGCATTTCAGACCCATCCAATTTTGCAATGACCTGTTCCAATTTAACTGGCTATGATGCAACTTCCAACGAAACTAATGCTACTAATTCCCATCATAAAATGTTGCAAGCTTTGCTTACTGGCTGCCTTGAATGTTTAACTAGTCTCGGGGAGTCGGTGCTTGACACGGGTTTAGCGGCCCTTCTTAATCTATTGCGAGTTGATCCAGATGATTTCACGGCAAATTTGTGTGGCCAAATCATTCCGCTGCTTGTGAACCTATTTAAAGTCTGTTATCCAAGTTAGTTTAACCTTAATTTATCATATTCTATCTATTATATTTCTTTTTGTTCCTTTAACTGTATGATTTTTACCTGACACACATACTTTACACACTTGCTCTTATACGTAAATGTTATTTGAAGTTTACTTTTGATTGCTTTGGGCTGAAAGTCTAAGAATCAAATCTGCTTAAGCTTGTCTTATACACTCTGCTGAACAATTATCTTTACCACTATCTCATCCTAGCTTATGATTATGATTACTTTTTTCGCCATTCGGACCTAGGCTTCTTTTGGGTCCACCATAGTCCACCCTCTGCGCAAATTTTATTAAATAATCCAGTTCCAATCATAGGCCCACCTTCGCATCTCATGATGCCCATTCATCCCGTCGTGTGCTTTATCTCGGCGCAAAATTTATACCTACAGCCGCATCCTTATTTAACGGATCCTCCTGGATAGTCCCTATGCTTGGCTCTTCATATTTTTGTTACTTGACCTTTTAAATGTTATGAAAAGTAACGTAAATGGGATTCCTAAGTTGGTCTACTAACATCATTCTTAGCTTCACTACGTTCTTTAATTTCTAAGAAATCCGTAAGAACAATGAGGCAGCCAACCTTATTATCAAATTTTACCATAAAATAACAATTATGCTATTAAAGACAGGTAGATTGCAGCAGGTCATCAATCCTGGCTTATTATTTCTTGAAGTTTTAAAATTTATTTTCACTCGCTGACTATGTTTGCCATATGATATGTCAATCCTTAACATTATTTAATAAAGGTCAAACGATGGTGTCTCACAGATTTTAACTTTCGAATTCCTATTCACAATTCTGAGAAGATTTTTTCTTTTATTCCTGGGAAGGCCAATTTATAAATTCATTCCAACCAACCTTTCTTACAAGCGTAAAGTTACATTTACAAGGCACCACTTAGTCTACTTATTTCTCTTTAATACAACTGTTGACAGAAGTTTTTATATTTATTTTATTCATACTAGAATACAGGACAATTCATGGAAATTGCTACATATAAGGTGCTCTTAGATTGGTTTTTCTCGTTTTCCATCCTCTACTATATATTATTTTCTAATGTAAACTAATTTCCTTGAATAGTATCACACTAGAGTAGCTTTTGATGATGAAGGATTTTTCACAAGTTGGTTTACAAACATATAAATCTTGGCTTCATTACCTTCTTTCATTTGTAAGAATTTCGTAGGAACAATGAGGTGGCCCACCTAATTATCAAATTTTCTCAAAATCACAATTAATACGTTGAATGTGAGGAACGGTGGTATAAAGTCGAGTAGAAATTACTTATGCTTGCTTGATAGATTGAAGGAGAGAAAGGGTGTTGAGCCGCCGTTCAAAAGAAGGCGACTCAATTTGTCTGTTCGGTTATGGTTCCAACTTCACTCAGACTCGTCCATTTTATATTAAGCTCATCAACCAAACCACACGTGCCAGATTACACAGCCTCAGTCATGTCTTTCCTCGGGGGGTTAAACGTTAATGATCCTATACTGATAGGTTAGGACAAGTTGTTTTCTCAACTTGACTAACATGCTTACAAGCTCATATCTCATTATATCAATGATTCTTGCTTGCGGACTTACGCAATCTCGGTCAGGGCTTTCTCTATAATCATTAGGCCTTGATTATCAGAGCCTAACATTAACCTTTTGATAACTCTGATTGAGGACCGATATTGCTTTTAGTCGCTAACACACACACACACACAGGAACACACTCGAGCAAAAGTAGAAGGACCAGTATGAAAGATAATTAGCCAAACCACTCTATATCTATCTATGTTTTTAATTTTATTTAGCTTAATTCAGCCTATATAAGAGGTAATATAGAGCTAGATAGTCATCTTGCC